GTGAAGAGTCATCTCTGACTGGAAATGGAAGATTCTCAACTTGGTCAGGTGCACTCTTCCCTTTTCTAACAGAAAAGCAGGAGTCCAGCAGTGAGCAAGATGGCCAGGCATGCCTCACAGCCGGACCTCCTGGTTTCCCAAGTGGCCAGACTTCTAGGGCTTTATGATGTGGCCCCCTCATGTTCAGGGGTCTCCCCAAACATAATGCTCTAACTTCCCAGTCCCCAAACTGAACCCAAATACCATTGTTTTGTGCACATATGAGCTGAGCCAGGATTTCCTTAACAAGTGGGAGCAAAACAAAATCAAGGAAACTCGCAGACCAATTTTAAATGGAATGAAACCTACACATTTCCTAAAACTATTGAACTGAACAAAACCAGATCAAAATAGTCTCAGTAAGCCTGAATCAAGGCAATATTTCCCTTGGGTTGAGGCCATTGCCAGAAGTAAATATCACCGAGTGCTTAGGTGCTCCGCGAGGTGGAGAACCCGGCCCACTGCGGACACTAGGGGGGCCTTGGGGGCTGCTGGCTCAGACAGCTGTGGGATGTGGGAGGGCTCGGAGGGCCCCTCGCCTGAACCTGCCTCTGACCCCTTCTCTGTGAAGTGATGGGGTCGTACTCATTCTCTGGTGTCCACACTAAAACAGAATAAAACCAAAACAGTGGAAACTTTTCAGAGGTAGCTTTTCGGAGAATCCTGATATGTTGAACTGTTACAAGCAGAGCTGTTCCACGTGAAGCAGCAGTCGGTGGCTCAGTGGATCGGAGTAAAATATAAAATCAATAGCAGGCAACTTTGTGCCAAGCACCTTTCCAAGCCCTTTCTCTGCAATACATCTACTCCTCACAACCATCCTTCTGAGGTAGGGCCTATTATTAGGCTCATCCCAGTTTACATTTGAGGAAACTGAGACACAAAGAGGGTAGTAAGTAAGTTGCTTGTGGGTCACACAGCCAGTAAGAGGAAGTGGGGTGGGACCAGGTATTCGGACTTTGCATTTAACCATGCTGCTCTGTTGTTCTCACACCAGCTGGGTGGGGCACCAGCCTGCAAAAGATAGAAAATCAGAATGGAATAAATCAGAAACTTGGTACCAGCGAACTCAGGTCTGTCTGTCTCAGACTCCTGATGTGATTGGCGAAATGAAAGTGAGACTCTAAAACCCAAGTTAGACTCCTCAGGGGGACAAAACCAATGTCCTTGCCAGTGCTGCTCTATCTCTGATGAGTTTTGCTTCTGACACAGCAGGTCACACCTCGATATCATAGGCTGCTCCCTCTGGCCCAAGGCCCACTGCCTAAAAATGTTGCTTTGCTTCTAGTTGCAATCTGCTGTAGCTCTGAGACCGGACAATTCAGTGTGCAATGCTATTTACTGGGAATGAATGATTTATTTAATTATGTAGTTTAAAAACCCTTAATATGCACCCCCCCCACCCTCGAGGCTGCCTATTTCAGAAATCTGAAAAAGGAAAAGGGAAGAGGGAATATGAACTGCAGAATAGTGAAAAGAGAAAAGTGTTTTGCCAACGCGACAGACAGAAGAAATAATTTTAAAACGCATGTTGAAGGTGGTTTCATTACAGCAGACATGTGATGCATCTCTATTTTTTATGTGCCAGTGACTGACGCTGCCCACTTAGGAATGGAAAGATAACTGTCTTATAAGATAGTCATAGATAAAGTAAAAGTGGGAGAACATGTTCAGTGCCTGTAATAAATTTCTGGAACTTTTAAAAAAGATTTTATTTATTTATTCATGACAGACACAGAGAGAGAGGCAGAGACATGAGAAGAGGGAGAAACAGGCTCCATGCAGGGAACCCGACATGGGACTGGATCCCAGATCTCCAGGATCACACCCTGGGCTGAAGGCGGCACTAAACCACTGAGCTAACCGGGCTGCCCTAAATTTCTGATTTTGTAATATGAAAGAGTTCCTTTTTTTCCCAGTCTGTAGCTTGTCTTTTCATTTTCTTTTTATTTATTTTTTAAAAATTTTATTTATGACTGAGACAGAAAGAGAGAGAGAGAAGAGAGAGAGAGAGAGAGAGAGAGAGAGAGAGAGAGAGAGAGAGAGGGGCAGAGACACAGGCAGAGAGAGAAGCAGGCTCCATGCAGGGAGCCTGACGTAGGACTCGATCTTGGGTCCCCAGGATCACACCCTGGGCCAAAGGTGGCATCAAACTGCAGGACCACCGGGGCTGCCCTGTCTTTTCATTTTCTTAATGGTATCTTCTGAAGAGCAAGTTTTAATTTCGATGAGGTTCACTGTCCCCCCAATTTTTTTTTCATTTATGGGTTGTGTTTTTGGGGTCATATTTAAGAAAGCTTTGTCTAACTGAAGGTCACAGAGATTTTCTCTCATTCGTGTATTAAGATACACGTGCCAGGTGCCATGCAAGGCGCCCGACGAATAAAAGTGCCTGCAACATTCTCCTCCCCTCGGAGAGCCTGAGGAGGGGACAGAGGTGCATGAGCTCTCTGCTGCAGGGTGGCATTTAATGGTTTTTACGGAAGCACTTGCAGTTTAAACACCAAGGAGAGAGTGTGCAGCACTACCAGAGGAAGCAAAGGTCAACTCAGGCAGTGTGATATGGGATCTCGCGACCAAGACACTCTGGTTCCTAATTTAAAAAAAAGATTCAATCTGTAAGTCCCGCCAGTGAGGACGGTGCCCCAAGACTGTCAGCTTTTTTTTTTCTTAAGATTTTATTTATTCATGAGAGACAGAGAGAGAGAGAGAAAGAGAGAGAGAGAGAGAGAGAGAGAGAGACAGGCAGAGGGAGAAGCAGGCTCCATGCAGGGAGCCCGACGTGGGACTGGATCCCCGGTCTCCAGGATCACGCCCTGGGCTGAAGGTGGCGCTAAACCGCTGAGCCACCCAGGCTGCCCAAGACTATCAGCTTTTAAGGTCAACATCTTGGGCAGTTTGGATGGAACATCTGCTCGTGTATGCTATTGTCTTTTGGAATGACGAAAATATCATCAGTTTTCTGCCTGCTTACCAGGATCATGATTGGTCTTTCTAGAGGCCAGAAGAGAGGCAGTGACCCAGGACTTCCCATTCCCTACCGCAAGCATGGTGGCCGTGAGGCGTCGGGTTAGGAGCACCTGTATTAAGGTCCAGTGCGTGTATAGCCATCCCTTCACTTGGTGCAGAGGCTTTTGATCTGTTCATTATGGTTGCTGCCCCAAACAGAACAAGCAAACTTCTTGCAGAACATATTGGCCCAAGGGAATTTTCTAGGGAGGAACTGGCAAAGGAATATACGCCACAGAGAGAGGCCAGTTCAGTTTTGCGTTAGGATCAGAATCTCAGAGCTTGAAGGGAGAGAACTGATGTCTTGCTACTCAAAGTGTGGACTAGCAGCATAAGCATCACTGGCAAGGGCGGAACGAGGGGGCTGGTTAGAAATGCCAAATTTCAAGCCTCACTAAGACAGTAGAGTAGAAGAGATCTTTTGCCCATAATTCCCAAGATGTGGATATTACTAGCAGAATCTGCTTTTTACCAAGATCCCTGTAACTCACAAGCACTTCTCAGGTTGAAGAAGGTCTGGTCAGTGGTTCTGGAGTCCCCTGCCAATACCCTGGCTAAGTGGTCAATGGGGCTCTGCTTAGTAACTCAAGGGACAGTCAAGGTCAGTGAGTAGATGAGAATGATCCTTTTACTTTTCTTTTTTGGTGAGGCTGGTTTGGCAGAGAAGTGGACATAAGTGAATGAGTAGTTGTGCTCTAATTTGTAAGGGCAGGTCAGCCGCTAGAGCTACCCTTTAAAACAGCTCTTTACAGCAAACAGACTGCTTAAAAGATTTGGAGGAAGCAAGAAGAGGACTTTGATATGTGGTTCTTTATCCACTGAGCCTCATTCCACAGTATATTTAATGTTAGGGGAAAAAACAGCATTACTGTGTGTGAGGACTGTTAATGCAAATTAGTTGTCATCAATTATTTTGTGTACTTACCGTTTCGATGGCCACATACTCTTCTTTATACCAAGACAAACAAACCGATGCTAGCAGTGGTTCCCAAACGTTAGCATGCATCAGAATCACATGGAAAACTTGTTAAAAAAATTGCTAAGCCCTCCCCTCCCCCACCAAAGTGTTTAATTGTTTATGGGACAGGAACTGATAACTTGCATTTCTAGCAATTCCCAGGTGATGCTAACGCTGAGATATAAAAACAGTAGCTTCAGATGCATTATTAGTACCTCAGGAAATCTACAGACACTTATTTGATACTGTGCTCTGATGATCTAGAATATAGGGCCAAATATCAGCAATCCATGGTCATGAAGACAGAGTACCCAGGACAACTTCAAATACAGAAATAGTCTGATTCCTTTCAAATGTCTGCTTCCTAAACCTACATCTGAGTTGCTAACAAGCAATTTCATTTGCTTCATTTTCCATTCTTTTAGTTTCTACCCACCTCTGATGGCAGACAGTTCTGGTTGAGGGCACAATGTTTCATATTGAAATCGTAAGCACCTACTGGTTGGCAGGTGGCTCCACTGGCCAGTGTCACTGAGACATTCTGAGCACGGGGGTGGGCTCTGAGCTGTGTGATGACCTTCGAGGTCATTATGGTCCTTTATGTAGTGCTGGGCCCCTACCTCCCCTACAGGATCACATCCATGATTTTGGTAGAATTAAGGGGTTCTATTGTGGGGGGGACATTGGAATCACCTTAGTCCTCAGTGAGCTGATCTTTGGCACAGCACGGGACCCACAAATCTCTGGTCTGGGTTCCTTCTGGCAAATTTCTCCACCTGTGGCAGATGCTCAGATTTGAACTTTCTGACCCTTCCGGTGCCACTAGTCTCAAGACTGCCTGCAGATGACTCTGACAGAGGCTGCCTGCCAGTGAAAAACCAGGACCGCACTTCATACTGTAATTGAGTGGAGACAGGATTTGCCTCATTGGCGTACCTTGCCTGTATGACTCCATTTCATATTATTAAAAACAGAGACTTGGTCCTTTTTTTTTTATAAAAAATTTATTGAGATGATGCAATTATAGGCTTTTCTTTAAAAATTATTTGCAACTCACTGGCCCTGAGAAAAGGCATTTGTTTTTTGTATTTTTTTCTTTTTTGTTACATTCATTTGATTCAGTCCCTTATAAACCCCACACCTCATAAACAAGAGATTAGAAATTAAACAAAAAGAAAAAAAGAAAAAGAAATTCTAGATTCGTTCTGGTTTGCAGGTGGTTGCAGTCACAAAGAGAAATCTTCAAGAATGTTCACTTGGCGTGTGTGAAAGATACGGGGAGTGTGTAGTTGTTTAGTGTTGATGCAGATGGGGCTGAAAGAGTATCAGGTTAGTCTTCTGTGGTTTTTAGACAGGCAGGGATTATTGTCACTCCCCTCCCCCCATGGCTTCCTTAGATCACTGCCTTCCTTCCAGACTTCTGCTCAGAAGAGGAGCAGGCTAAGTGGGTGAAAACTTACTAGCACCGAATACTAGGGCAAAAAAAATCTGCCCTTTGTTCTTTGGGTATTTTCCCAAATCTTTTATCTTCAGCTTCCTGGGTGGGAGTGGGTCAAACGGGTATGGCTGGGCTGGATTCCACTCCTCATTCTGTGCCTGGCATGCTGTCTGTTCCCAGGGCAAGTCATCCTACCTCTTGGACACTCAGGTCTCCCTTCTGCAGAAGGGACTGAATGTTTCAAAAATGTATTCCAAGGTGGAGCCTAGGCAGTGAAAGGTGGGAACAGTGGTCACTTAGTCGCTTAGGTAAATCCTGTCATAGCCATTGAAGTTTCAGCTAGAACTACATCCTTATCTGGGCAAGGTATCAGCATAGAAAGACCCTGGGTCAGAGGGTTCCAAACACACTGTTGAAAGTAGAAAATCCATCAGTCTGTTATTCCTCTTTTTCTGTGGGGATATTCCCCTAAAACAAAGAAAGGGAGAAAGGAAGAAAGGAAAGAAGGAAAGAAGGAAAGAAGGATTCATGGCATTGGTGACACTGCCTTAGACAAGGCCAAGTTGCCTTGGGGCAAAGAGAATGTTCCTGCCACTTTGATGACCCAGACAATTGCCAGGGCTTTCCTCTGATGGAGAGGAGGCAAAGCGGTAAGCCCAAGATGCAGGTTAGAGAAGGTGCTAGAGGATTTCTAGCTGGAGATACAAGCGAGAGCGACCGCCAGCCCGGCCAGACACAGCTGGGGGGATATTCTCCCTCTGGGGTGGTCTTCTGCATTCTCCTTCCCCATTCCTGGTCTAAGTCAAGGATTCCCATGACAGCAGCAGGGAAAAGCCAGCTATTCAGATCATAGACATGCTTTTAATTTGGTCCCAGGTGACACTGCTGTCACCCCACACTGGACAGATTCTGCAGAGTTAGTTAGCATAGCTCTCAGAGGGACTGTGCCCCCTTCCTCCTCTGAATCCCTTGCAGTCTCTAGCAGATGCTGCAGCAAAGTCTGCCGAATTGAATCTGAGATCTCTGGGGTCTGCAGTGTGTCAGCACTGGCCAGGTGATAAGTAAAAGAATAATCGAGGACTTTTGCCATTAAGGGAATCAACAGAAAATTCTTATTGGCAATATCTGGGTGGGAAATAAGGATCATATTGGAAATAGCAACTTCTCTTCTGCAAGCTGCTGAAGGTGTCATCCCAAGACTTCCACATTCTTACACGGTATTGCTTTAAGTACAGAAATCCTTGGGGCAAAAGGGAACTTCCCTCCATAATTCAACTGTTGAACAAAGAGCCGGAGTCCTTCTATCTAAGTAGAGTGAACAGAATGAGATGTTCTCATCTTAGGGAAAAGCAACATCATGCCCTGGCTCTGATTTCATAGTCAAACAAAGGGCCTCAGTAAAAACCCACCCTTTCTCTGCAGCCCTGAAACTCAACAGTCTTCCCAACACACAAGGTACTTGGCTTGAGATCTCCAGTTGTGATCCAACATCAGTCATCCTAGAGGCTGGAGAATGTGTCACTGCATGCTGTTGAACGCTCTGGAAAGATATCTGTAGCATGCTGGGGTCCAGCTGAATTTCACCACCATTCAAGCAGACTGAGACCAAACCCGAACCCTTCCTTCGTCATGAGCCTCCATGCCCCACAAAGCAGGTGCCTGACCTGACTGTCATCCCACCTTCCTGAAGGTAGGGTTAGGGGAGCATGTGATAGCGGAGGAGGCTGGCCACATCCACGTGTCTCTCTGTGGTCTGATAAGAGGCAGGGCACAGCTGAAGAGCTTTGAAGGGCTCCCTGACTCCAGTGTCTTTGACCCATAGTCTGTCTGTCCTTCCCTCCCCCCAGGCTGGCGTCCTTGTCAGTAAGGGTGTGTGTGTGTAGTGGGGGAGGCTTCCTCCTGCCTGTGTTCCTCTAATCCCCACCTGCCTGACTCGGTCACAAGTGGCTTCAGGAGATACCCGGGGCTCTGGCACCATCACCCAGAAGTGCTGCTGATGGTGCCCACAGGTACCCTAGAGAGCTGTGAGATGCTCACCCAAGTGAGCAGAGGAAACAGAAATGAGGAGGGACTGCTTTGTAAGGCAGGTCTCATCTTTTGGATTAAAAAAGACTGTCCTCCTAATACTGGATTCTGAACCTGTATTGGAAGAGTCGATTCAGGTGGCTGGAAAAGGAAAAAAAAAATCTAAAAACAGCTTTCTAAAAGTATCTGTTATCATCAAAAGTACTAAGGGGTAGCACTTCCCTCATTTCACAAGATACTATGGACCTTATTAGGAGGTGAAGAGGAGCCACCAACGGGTCCATTCTGAAACACAGCTATGAAAAAAGAAGAGAAGAAAAAGGTAATGAATCTGATGAATTGCCTGTCTGCCCGGGTTTGGCAAACACCAGGAGCAAGAGATTGTGTACTCCAGGGGCCTCCCCTCTCAAATGCCCTGTGTCCTATGGGGACCAGGGAACTTAAAAAAGAAAAGGCTAGGAATTGAAAAAAACAATTCGGTGAGGGCATGAAACTGACCACAACGTGGCCTTTGGGATGGAGCAGATAATTCCCCCATTAGCCTCCATCACCTGCACTGGAACCACAAATCCCCCCTGCAGCATATTTTCCACCTACTTTCTGACCATTGGGCCCATGGGGTCTTTTTGGATTTTCTACCTCTTGGAACTTGCAAGCTAATCCCAAGATGGGGATCTTCCAGGGATCTGGGGTCTTCCGAATGATGCAAACAGCCTTCTAGCCATATCTTCTGTCCCACGGAACCAGCATGTCCTGGGGTTCTAGCAGCTACTTCAGGGGGTGGGAAGGGGGGGGCAGCCCGCTGGACTGGCATTTCTCTTTCTGGAGGACTGCAGCACCTGTGAGGTTTGGAGCCTCTCTCTGATGGGCAGCCAGATGCTGGGATGTGGCTTTGATTTTGCGGTGCCTGCTGCAAAGCGCCCAGACCACTGATGCCGCCTGGATGTCAACAAATCTCAAGACTCTCTGAGAGGCTGAACTCTGCTAAAAGGCATCTGAAGCTCAATAGCAGGGGAGGAGGAAAAACAGATGGGAGGCAGGGAAGGGAGGAAAGAGCGAGAGGGAGAAAAAGAGAGCTCTCCTTTTCACTTTGTCTTTTTTAAAAGCATCTTTTTTTTTTTCTTTTTTCTTTTTTCTTTTTTTTTTTTTTTTCCAGCCAAGACCCAACAGCAACAGGAACAAACCTGATCCACGTGGCAGGATCAAGAGGAACCTGAAACCCTTTGCAAGTGTTCTCTTTCCTGACCAGCTGGTCTTGCCGCACACTGTGAGATTTGCAAAAAAATAGATTATATATAATAGATATATATTTCCATAGGAAAACAACCTCAGATGTCTTCCCCTCTATGAATGATGATGAAAAGTCAAACTGCATGGTCTTAAAAAAAAAAAAAACAACAAAAACAAACGAAAACGAAAAACACCATGGAACTAACAAGAGGTGGATGGGTGAGGAGGGTGAGGAATTACAGATGGAGAGGTTCCAGATGAGGAGGAAACGGAACCAGGAGTCCTGGGCTGATGCCCTCGGCCAGAATGCCAGCCCCGCCTTCGCTGGGTGGTTTGTCTAAGGTGCTCTGGGGGCCCTCCCGCTGCGCGAGACAAGTGTCACTCCCACTTCTGGGTCTCTTTCTGTCCGGCTCTCAGCCCGCCTGCTCGCCATGCCTCCGGGGCCCTCGTGGGCAGGGGTGGGGGGTACGGGGCCCCCCCACAGCTGCCGGCCCGCCGAGGCCGCGGCTTGCTTCTCTCAGCACTCATCTTCTTGGTATATTTGTTCATCCAGCTCCTGGGACTCGAGGTGCTCCAGACGGTCCGTTCGGCCGCTCATGATTTCATCTGGGGTTTTCATAAACCTTTGGAAGAGGAAATGGGAGGAGCCCAGAGATTACATTTTCCTCAAGTTTGTCCTCACCCTGAACTCTTGACTCAAAGCTGAGGCCCCATCACCTCAAATTGCTGGAGAGCTACTGAACCCAGCTGGTAATGTTAACTTAGCCTGAACTGGAAAGAGGTGCCCCTTCCTGGGACAGCCTGAAACATGGCAAAGGAACTGTAAAAAACGGTAACAAAAACAACCCAAAAACCAAAAAAGAAAAAAAAAAATACAAGAGTCCTAGGAGATGGCACCCCCTGGAGCAGTGTGGTGCATTCTGCATGACCATATACAGGAACCCTGGTGCAGCTCACTGATCCATCATTCTGAGTTTTAGAGTTAGAGTTTCCCAAGGCCCTCTGAGAAGCCGTCTATCCATTTCCATCCCAGACTGTGAGCCCAGGGAATGGCATGCGAAACTGGAATTTAACTCAAAGGATACAATTAAACGTTGTGGAATGGAAAATTTTCATAATAGGGCAAGTCAGCAGTGCTCTTGGAAATCAGAAAGGGAGAATGCTTTTCAGTGTTATCACTGATCCCCCCAAACTGCTAGCAATGAATCCCCGTTAGTTATCTGCACTGGGTGCACACAGCATGTCTCATCTTCTTGGTGGAAATAACATCAGCAACTTGTTTCGACCATGATTTATATGGTTCGGGAAGGCAGCCTGGGTGCACACGCTGTAGCCTCACCGTGGGAGTGCCCTTTCCAAGTGGGCTCTTGGCCTGTCCACCTTTGCCTTCCCAGACCCTCCGCCCTGTGCCAGATGAACTGTCTTAAAATATACTTTTCCTCTTGTCACTCCATGTTCAAAAGGCCTGTGATGACCACTCATCAAGTAAGGCCAAGGATACACGATCTCTTCAGCTTGCCCATCTGGGCTCTCTGTGACGTGTACGTAGGAACCTCTTGTCCTCCACTGTTGATGAGCATGAACCCTTTAGTCTGGCCAGTCTTTTTTCTTATACAAATCGTGGCTCATGCCTTCCTCCAAACCTTATCTGGCCTGATTTCTTTACTCCTTTCACTTTCTGAGCTCTGCCTCCTTGTCAAAGAGCCATGTAATCATGCTGGTCCCTACTAAAATCTTCCTTCTCTCAATGTCTAGAAATCCTGTAAAGAGTAGCCACAGTTTAACACTTCACTTGATTAGACCCTGGGTTTTATACCAGGAAGCCTTCATTTTGTGGAAAGTCTGGCTTCCAACACCCACTTCCTCAAAAATGACCAACTCTCCTCACTAATAGCACTATTCCGTCCTTTCATATTGTCGAAAATTGCTATTGGAAGCCTATGAACTTTCCAACTACTTCTGCTTCTCTTTTCTGCCCTTTATTGCTGAACTTCTCAAACAGTATGACTTGTAAAGTTTTCAGTCCACCTTCTCCTTTTATCCCTTAACTAAAACTTCTTCCTACCATCTGAAGTCATTAATGATCTCCTGAGGCCAAATCCACGGTCACGCTATACTTGGCCCTGCAAACTACCCCTTTCTTCTCTTGACTACTTTTCCATAATAAGCTTCTGATGGTCTATGTCAGGCTTGTCAAGAAACATTGAAAGCCTCCATCATGTACAAAACAGAATTATATAAAATAGAATCCTCTCCCTTCTAGACTCTTGTGACCTACTTGTGGGGAGAAGGACTTCACATGTACAGCTATTGAAAATGTAAACCACGATGTGGTTTAGGGTCAAGGGAATCCAGGAAATGATGGAGGAAGATATCTATGTGTGTTTGACCAGTTGAAGAAAGCCTCAGGAAGGGCAGGACACCTGAGGTGGACCTAGAGGGCACAGATATTTAAAAAAGCAAAAGTGAAAGGGATATATATTTCTGGCACAGGGAATCATCTTAGTGTTGTAGGGCAGTTGGCAGGGTGTGTGATGAATTCAGAAGGCAGGAGAGTGGGCCAGAGGTAGAAAGGATTATTGAATTAATCTTGGTATAAATAATAAAATCTAGACAGAGAAGCAATAATAATGCTTTTGCCTTTCTTACATGTTCCAAATGCTCATGAAAGTGCTTGTCATTGGTAGATTCCGACCTGGAACCTGCTGCTAAGAAATCTTGGGAAACAGGGTTTCCAGGCTTCTAGCCCCGGCAAAATAGAATGCAGTGGAAACGGTACGGAAGAGCCAAGGACAATCCAACACAATGACTACCCTGCATGTGGGAAGAGTCAATGATAACTCCAGTGTCAAGGCTGGCAGCTTAGAACAACGGTGATGCCGCTGATGAGTAACAAGAATTCTGGATGGGGGGAGGGGAGGTTTCTAGAATGCGAAGGTCTTTCTTGAACATTTCATGTCTGAGATACTAATGTGGTATTTTCAGTGGACATGAAGTATCAGAAGCTCTTGGAAATGCAGATTTAGAATTTAAGGAGGATTTTAGAGCTGGATCCAAAGACTGAATAGTTTAACCATTAAGGTGATAACTGAAGCTGTTGTAATGGGATCATTTTATCCAGGAATCAAAGGAAAGGAAGACTAAGTTTAGGGTGAAGGATGAAGGGAAAACACTAGCAGAGCCAGAGAAAGGAGTTTTTTTTTTTTTTTTTTAACTTCATTCCATTCTGCTTCCAACTCTTGAACAGCCTTTTCTGTTGTTTTTGAAGATCTCAATTATTTTCACTCTTCCTAAGTTAACCATAACTCCTGATGCTAACGTCCAGGTTCTCTGCTCTTTCCAATCTATCCCAGCAAGCTCATCTACTCATACAGAATGTCACTTTCTACCTGTGTGTAGATAACTCCAAATCCATCTCTTTTCTGTCCCACCTGCCAAACCCACAACCTAACGTCACATCTGTTGATCCCACCTTCTCCCGGCCTTTACTGGGTCTCCCCACAGCCATTACCACCAGTGTCAATTACCACCACTTCTACTTCTCCTGATTGGTCCTTTAGATCCTTTCTCCTTCTTCTTTTAATTCTTTCTCCTCTCTTGTATAGTACTTGGAATCACAATCTATGTGGAAGGTTAAATGGTTGGAACTCATTAGCTGTGAGGAAGTCTGGAAAGAGGAATGTCTAGTACGGCGGCTTTCAGACTTTTCTGATTATAATGCATCATAAAAAAATACATTTTACCTTGTGACTCAGCATGTGCACATGCACACAACAAAATTTTCACGAATCATTAGTCACTCTTATTTCATGTGATACAGTCTGATATTTTCAATTCTATTCTACTCAGTCCTGTCCTATGTCATTAAAAAAAGTTGTCACTGACTCAGTGAATCGATTTCATGATTCACGAATGGGTCAGGACCTGCAGTTTGACAAACACTGCTTCAGAAACTGGCTTACAGGATTGGGAACCTGGAAGTCTAGATCTAATAACTTGCTTTGCCACTGAGGATGTTACTCTAGTTCTTCCTTTTAACTACACTGGATGTTAATGCCAGATAATTCTATTTGATCAGTGTTTTATTTTAAAGGTGAGTCAGATGGTTGTTTACTTAGCTGTGTTTACTTACTATAGTACAGACCTAAGTAAAAAAAAAAACAATTTTTTTTTTTTTTTTTTTTTTTTTTTACCCTAAAATTCTAACAACCCAGCATCCGGTATCCAATCTGGAGCACTGACGGCTTAAGTGTCATCCAGGCAGGTAGAGATCTTGTCTCCCGCCTCCCTCTTATTTAAAGAAAATAATATCCTCCCAAAAGAAGGAAAGGAGAAAAAGGAAGTGCTACCTGAACAAAAGCCTTTGTCCTGGCTCCTTCCTGATAATGTTTAGTTTGTAGTAGTGGCGCAGGGCTCTGGACATTTTCTCATAGGTCATGTTTGTTCTGTTCTGTTTGTTCAAAGGAGGAAGAGAGAAAAAAAAAAAAAAGCACAAAGACATAGTGAAATCAACCTCAGAAAAGACACTGGGGAGCTATTAAAATAAAAGCTCTTCAGCTGCTCGCGGGAGCCCTGCCCATTGGAGAAAGCTACCTGCTAATCTGCCGCCTTCCTGGCCCACTGGTGTCACCCGCTCTGCTTTTACCCGCATCACCAAGATCTGTCCTAAGGTGAATCACCTTTTGTCAGAAGTCTTGGCGCTGCAGCTAATAAAGCATATGCCGCAGCAAGCTCCTTTATTTCCTTTCCCAGGACCAAGCAATGTTACGCTCAGTGAATTTCCTGCACGTTCCCCCTACATGGGGGTCAACCTTCACCTTCTGAGCCACAGAGAATTTTCCTTTTTGTCTGCCTCTTTTTCTTTTTCTCTTTCTTTCTTTCTTTCTTCCTTTCTTTCTCTTTCTTTTCTTTCTTTCTCTTTCTTTCTTTTTCTTTCTTTCTTTCTTTCTTTCTTTCTTTCTTTCTTTCTTTTTCTCTCTTTTTCTTTCTTTCTTCTTTCTCTTCCTTCCTTTTCTCTCCCTTTCTTTCTTTCTTTGCTTCTTTCCTTCTCTCCCTCTCTCTCTCCCCCTGCTCCCCTTTATTTTGTGTTGCAGTGACCTTTCTCAAACTTGTATTTCTGGCTTGTCATTTTAAGGAAGAGATTTTTTTGTTGCTGTTTAAATTCCTGTTGTGGAAGGAAGAATACAGTGGTTCCGAGAGCCCCGGGGCTATGGCACAGTGGCCGCAGCGGGACTTTTCTGGGTGACTCACACTGAGGAGTCCGTCAGTGGGGCCTTGCTGTATTTGGTCATGGCCTGCACCGGGTCTTCCTCAACAGGGCCGGAGCTCAGGCTGCCAACCTCCAGGGCTGCAGCCCCGGCAGGGCTTGGCTGTGCCCCACTCTGTCCCCTTTCACTCAGCTCACCTGGTGTGGTGCCACCCCGGTGCCCTGCCTGCATTGCCTCACATCGACTGGTCCGTGGTCAGGCCTGGATCTTGGTTCCTCATTTGTTTTATTTTTAGTAGGGATACAGATTTATTTATTTTAATATATTTTTGAGGGGGGAGACCCTTTGCTCTACTTTCTTTTCTTTTACTGAGTCGTAAAAACATGTAACAGGACATCCATCCTCTTAAACTTTTAAGTACGTACTAGAGTGGTGTTAATTACAATGTTGTATAGCAGATCTCTAGAGCTTCCCCATCTTGCTTATGGGGAAAACCTTATGCCCATTGATTAGTATATCCCCTTGCCCCTGCTCCCCAGCCGCTGGTAATACCATTCCACTTTTTGATTCAATGAATTTGCCCACTTTAGATCCTTCCTGTGAATGAAAGCAGGCAGTATTTGCCTGTGATTGGCTTATTTCACTTGGCGTAATGTCCTCAAGATTCCTCCATGCTGTAGCATGTGACAGGTGGGATTTCTTTCCTCTTTAAGGCTGAGTAATATTCCACTGTATGTTACACTGTTGTTTCTTTATCCAGTCATCCATAATGGACATTTAGGATGTTTTATGTACTTTTTACATCTGTGGGCTTTCACAGTTTTCCTAACTGTAAAAGATTATATCAGGGCACCTTGGTGGCTCATGGTTGAGCGTCTGCCTTCAGCTCAGGGCATGATCCCAGGGTCCTGGAATCGAGTCCCACATCAACTCCCCACAGGGAGTCTGCTTCTCCTCTGCCTATGTCTCTGCCTCTCTCTCTCTGTCTCTCATGAATAAATAAATAAAATCTTTAAAAAAATAAAAAAAATAAAAGATTATATCCTGTAAGTTCCATTTCCTCTTCCCAGCATAGAAAAGCATGGGGCAAACAGTTCTTGCCTGTTTGCTTTTCAAGGGGATGTTGCAGAGTTCGAGAGTAAGCATTTCCACGTAGAAAGGGGCTGTTGTGGACATGGGAGTTTCTAACTGAGCAGAACAGAGGGGATGCTTCCCCAGCTTCCTCATGAGTCCCAGAGCCCCCAGAGCTTCCCTGTTACTCTAGATCCTGAGGACATGTGAGTGTCAGGGCCAGGCCAAGGGGATGGGATGGAGGGCTGCTCTGAATGCAGCTCTTTCAGACCTGAGGTTGTGAAGTGAACTGGCACCTGGCATAAGTAACAAATGGAAAGTGGCATCTTTAATCATTTCCTTCCCTTTGCAACTGTCTAATTGCTCACCCCATGAGGAATAAACCAAATAATGAGGGGCACACGTAGGAGGCAGAAGCCAGGCAATTATCCTCCAAACTAGAGAGAAGGGTTTTACTTCGGCCCTCATTGGCAGAGTAAACAGCTGGTGCCCTTTTACCTTATGGTTTCCCCACAGTCGAGCCAGTCCATTGGGATCCACTATCCGGAATATTTTGGATTCTTTGTCCTCCCATCGGATGAAGTTTTCGTACCGGCTGTCAGAAAGCAACTGATAGACGTAATCCCAAAGCAGTCTACAGTCTACAGAGGCAAAGGGTAAGAAAACACTTTAGAATTAGGTTTCTTGTTGAGGCACTAAGAATCAGAATGAGAAAATCATCAAATAATCACTTCTGCCTACTGTGGACTGATGGTCAACTTTCTTATCTCACAGTGAGGAGACCAGATCCCAGAGAGACCGCAGATGGTACTGCAGAAGGGTGACCTTTGACCAAGGTCATGACCAATGACTTGAACTTGAGCGGAGTTCCCATGAAAGAGAGCAAGCCAAAAAAGGGGGTAAAACCAGGCCAGGGTCAGAGAGTCAAAGGGCGGGAAGAGAGCCCTAGTGCTCCAGGCAAGCGGCGTGGGATACTTGGTGGCCCTGTAAGATCACTCTGGTGTTGGAGGCTTTACACACAAAGATGAGAAGACTGGGGCAGGCTATCAAGCGGCAGAAAAACAAGTGTGATGGGTGCACAGCTGCGGGAAAGAGAACTACGTGGTTTGCAGATGACTGGGAGTTGTGGCTAGCATGGTTTTCAAGAGGGCAGATATTTTCTCATTACGGCTAATTTTGGAGTTCTTTAAAATTGTTTTTTTTTTTTTTTTATAATGAAATGAGGGTAGAAAGGAACTCAAGGCAAAAAAAAAAAAAATCATTTTCCCCATTTGAAGGACTAATGTTCTATCACCTGGTCAGGCCACAAGCGTTTATTAAGTGAGTTAATACAGGCCAGGCATTGTGCTAGGCCTCCTTGGCTTTTGGTGGTGGGTTGGCATATTAAAAGAAAAGACACAGGCTGCACACCTTTCCCTTGTTTTAGTGCTTTCTGGATGTGCCCTAACGGTATGTGGTTTGCCCTCCAGCTTCCCTTGATAGGTGGGCGGAGGCAGACATGTCCTATCCAGGTGTGCTTTCTGGACCAGCCTCCGGATGAGAATAAGAGGCTCTGGTTTCCAGGGGTTCACCGTTGATCGTGGCAGCCCCCAACCAGAACTCCAGGCAGTGAATGATCGATCAATCCCTGAATTCTATATATGCGCTTAGCACTTTACTTGCATCCTTTCTACTCCTCGGAGGCCCAAGGTGGCTGGGCTTTGAACTCCAGGTCTCGGGCACACAGTGCGCTGACTGCCTTCTGTTGGGTGAGGCTCGGCCCACCTGGGAGGGGAGTGTCTAATCGAGACCTGGAATGTCTTAGAGTCAACACATTCACCTCCCAGGAAAAGAAACACACACCCTTCCAAGGAGTATATTTACAAGGGGGAATTGAGTCAGGTCACCTTTGGCAAGTTTCTTAAATCTCCCTGAGTTCTCTTTCCTCATATATGAAATGGGAATAATGTGTCCTTGACGGGATTACTGTATTAGTGACAGTGCGAGCGAAGGGAAAGTCATGAAGGTCACAACAAAATCACAACAGCAACACCATTAACTGGGTGCTAGGGGCAGGCGCTGAGCTTGTGTTCCACAAGCATCGCTACACTTGACCCTGGTGACCCCCTGAGAGGCAGGTGCTGTTGCTACTCCTATTTTATGGACGAGGAAGCTGGGGCTTACCGGGTTTGGTAATTTACTCCGGGGGCACAGCTCAAGAGTGACCCACGTAGGACTGCAGCCTCTGCCCGGCTCTGAAGCCCGTGCTCCGCCCCCCCTTCCTGATGTGATTTCTATTCTCAGAGAGGCTGGTTAACAGGTAGGTATTTGTAAAGTTTTAGGACTTCCCAGGGCGAGGTTTCACTCTGTGTAGTGCAATCGTGGTGAAAGCCAGCCTTTGCTCTGAATGGCAGAAGAACTGGCATAAAATGTGGCACTTTCAAGAAACTAACATGAAAATGGCCATAAATCTTCTTACGGGTAGCCTCCGATCCACCCCCCACCCCATTGTCTGTGTCTAAACATTAACGGAATGTACGAGTTACTGTGTTTTAGAACAGGACGAACTGTGCTCTTCTTGCAGCCAAGACACCGCGTACTCTGGGAGCTGAACCCCATTCTGGTGACAGAAGCAGCCGGCCACTTCTATTATCCCCTGCCAGCCAGACGGAGAGAGCAGGGAACCCCCAACCCTAGCACCACAAAGCACCTGGAGAAGTCAGTGTTACACTATCGCACAACTGAGAAGAATCTAGCTCATTTTTTTTTTTTAAGATTTTACTTACTTATTCATAGAGACACAGAGAGAGAGAATGAGAGGCAGAGACACAGGCAGAGGGAGAAGCAGGCCCCATGCAGGGAGCCCGACGTGGGACTCGATCCAGGGTCTCCAGGATCACGCCCCGGGCTGCAGGCGGCGCTAAACCGCTGCGCCACCAGGGCTGCCCCAAATCTAGCTGAGTTTTAAGGCAACTGTTGCAGGATAATTCTGGTTGCTAGGCAAAGCAGTGAGGTCGGCAACGTGTCTTAACCCACCTGGCCACCTCCTTGTCTCATGATATCTTTACTACAAATGGAAAACAGAGGACTGAGATGTGGATTCAGTTTTTGTCCTGCCATCAAATGGCAGACACATTTTAATTTCCCCACAATCTCTACCAATTGGAATACTGCTGAAAAGAATCAAATATCATCCCATAAAAATGCCAGTAAGTTAGGAGGAACAACAAAGGGGGTTTGCACATAGCTCCTCTATCACTTCTCTTGTAGGGGAGAAATCATGTTCACTGCAGAGAGATATCATGGCACCTTTGGATTCATCTGGGTTGGGAATGTGAGTCTCCAGAGTGTTCATGTGACTAACACTTCATAAACAAATAAACAAAAAACCAACAAAAACCCCCTATCTGATTGTCTCCAGTAGTTTGATATAAGAAAATTGTGGAAGGGGAGCAATATGTTGCTACTCCCCTCACCTCTATGCCAACTGGAGCTAGAGCGTAAAGTGGATGATCCTTCCATCCCCATCTGCACAAGGACTTCTAATTTCCTAGTTTCTCTGGCTTCTGTCTTTCTGTCGTGGTACATTCTCTTTCTCATAAAACAACACAGTGTGAACCAGGCCATTTTTCCAAGTGAGAGCTTAACTAGCACTGGGCTACCGTCCTGGTTTTTCAGAAGCATCAAACTTGGACTTTGATGTAAACCATTTACTAAAAATGATCTAGAATGTTATCTGCTCTTTGGTTGGTTCAGTGAAGGGCAGGGCTTACCAGAGAACAGACCTCACCTGTATGTTTCAGGAACATTTGATTCTTGCAAAGTTTTCCCTTTCATAAATGTGAAAATAACCCCAAACAAGCTGCCAATTGATCACTTTAAATGACATTTAAGCCAGCAAAGCCAACTTTAGCTGAGTAATAAAAATACGTTGACATTCAAGACATATTGAATTACTCAGTCACTAACGGAGGTAGCAACAGGAATTTTGTGGCGTAAAGCAGTTGTTTCAAACTCAAGAGTGTAAGTGGCTTTTGCAACATTATTGATTGTTTTTTTTCTTTAGTTAAAAATTATTCCAGATGATAAAAATAAATGCCTGACCATAGAAGATTTTTTTTTCTTTACAACTAAAGTTCAAGCCATGGGAGTTATTTTGTTTTTAAGACTTCAATTTAATAAAAGGCAGATCCTTTTTAGTTCTCTAGATCCTCTGGAGGTTGTTACCTGCAATTTTTCAGCTCTGTCGAAATCCACATCTGCACAGATACAATGCTCTTTGATCATCAACGAAAATGCTTAATACTATATAATGAAATTCACCAAACTCTATAAATAGATTATCCTGTCATAAGACACTTGAATATGCATATGAAAAAATTATATTACAAGGTATTCATTAATTTTAAATGCATTTCTCTTAAACTAAGGGGACTTCTATATTAAGGCACGTGGGTATTTTAAACAAATGTCCATTATTTGGATTGTCTCTTCATGAGAGGAAGTTTATAAAGGGCTTAGCTCAAGTGAAGTGCCATTTTTCAGTCAGAGAGAACATTCTCTCTTTCCTGCTGGGTGAGGTGCCCTGGGTATCCATAGCTAAAAGGCATTATAAAAAATCCCTTCCTGTGGTTAAGGAGAAATATTTTCACTCCCACGTCTGTCTCTTAGCAGAGACTCGTTGTATGTGCTCATGGAACAGAGATTGTAAAAAGATGGGCAATTCACACATAACCAACATGGTTTTTAATGAAAAAACCATGCTAGACAAAACTGATGTTTAAAAATCTGAGTGGGCAAGTCAAGTTATTGACAAAGGGAATGTTTGATGATGGTGGCTAATTAAAATTTTGGGAAAACTTCTGAGAAAGTAATTTGTTGTTGTTTATGTTGTTTTAACTGCCCAAATGGAATTTTAAATGAAGGTCTGTAAACTGGAGTTCTGTGGGTACAATCACTAACTCACCGGATGCTGAGTGTCTCTGTTTCATTTTTCAATTTATTGCAAAAATTAATTTACTTCAGGTTCAGCAACAAAACAAGTAAAATACAAAATATAGAGTTGCTACTCTGCTTTATAGCAGTGGTTCCACACTAGTGGCAGTGTTGAGCTGTAGGGGAAGGAAGGCATTTCCCAGTGTCTGGGGATAATTCTGGTTGTCACGACTGGGTGGAGGATGCTACTGGCATCTAGTGGGTAGAGGCCAGGGATGCTGCTAAATATCATATAATGCACAAGTCAGCTCCCCCACCAAATCCCAGCAAAAAATCCTTGATCCGATTATCAAGAGTGCTAAGTTTGAGAAACTCTGCTTCTACAAGCACATGCTTTACAGTATGCACAGGTTAGTTTTTTGTTTTTCTTTTGTTTTCCTTTTCTCTTTCCTGTCCTCATTTCTAGATGGGCCATTATCGGGAAGCAGAAAGTTAATAGATCCAGTGCAGCCAACCCTGTGTTGATACACAGAGGTGTGTTTACAATGGGCAATTGCTCGTGCTCTGCTGCGGGCTTTGGAAAACAGAAACCATATGTGCATAGTAACAAGCTGGGTGGGGAGAGGCTAAGGTGAGGAATACAGATCCCGGCTTCCTGGCTGGACTGTGGCACATGGACTACAGGTGTAGACAAGGCTGGCCCTTTGCACCTTTGGTTGCATGAGGT